TATTTGAAGTAAACCCCTCAAACTATTAAAATTGAGTCATAATTCTTATTATTATTCTTATACGTATCGAATCTTGTAATAAATTGTAACACAAAAATAAATTAACCATTAATAGGAAAAGTTAATTAAATTACTTCATTCACAGCGAAATAATTTGTTAAATTAAATGTATTTAAAAATCTTAAAGAGGGGAGTAAGACATTAAACTGATTTAAATTATTTTTTAAAAACAATATATTTATAGATTAAACTTTTATTTAAATAATCTTTTTTTAAACTAAAATAAATGCAGTCTCAGAATTAATATTTTGCTTTTTTCGTTATTTTTGATAACGATTGACGAAATGTGTACATTTGGCGAAACTATTTCCTCACTCATATTTGTTAATCAATAGAGTTAGTCGATAAGTAACACTAAGGCTAATGCTTTTGAGAAAATTTATATAATCAAATAAGGGAATAATAACAAGGGAAAAAGATAAAGATAGTAATTTCTTTGACAAAATGTTCGCTCTATGCATTTGTCTGGAAAACGGTTTCGTCAAAAACTAAGGAAATATCCCGAACTTTCGAGTGTCTATTTTTTACAGAGTACGCTTCTTTGACACTTTTGGTTAATAAATCATTCTACAGATTTTGATTTGTGCAAAATTCAAAAGCTATTTTTGACATGCAGTTTTTATCAAAATAGGAAGGCAGTTAGCATAATGTGCTGCGCGCCCATTTAAAAATAATGTTCCACCATTGCTTAAAAAAAGTATCAAAAAATAGCATTGTTATTGGAACGCATTTCACTTTCAAAAATATTACATTACTCATATAATAAACAAGCCTAAGCAGTGTTTCGCCCCGTTGTTCGCCAAAAATACCAACTCTCATCCAAAAACCGTTATGAGGTGTGGTGTTTTTTTAAAGTTTCATTTTAGTTGTTACTTATCATGATGGTGAAAAGTCAAAGGTGAACAATGATTATTGAGGTCACTGGGGAATTAGAAAAAGAGATTTTTTTATTTTTTATGTTGCTTATTTGAAGCCGCTTTATGACCGGATTTTCACTTGCGTGTTTACTTTTAAACTGTTTTCTAATCAAAATTCTTTCTCTTGTACCCTTTCCCTGGCTATTCTAGCACTTCAAGTGTAGGTTTAAATGCAATTCAACTTGTTAAAAGGCCATCGCCCCCAGACAAGCCCTCTATTTCGATGGGAAGCTAGTTTTGGTATATAGGTGTGCACTCTATATAGTTTTAGGGTATAGTCTTTATATAGCAATAAAAAATTAACATAGCAGTGAGGGTGGAAATGGATGTTAAGAGCTGTACTTTCACGCTTGTTGTCAATTTTAATTTCCAGAAGATTTATTAATGACTTTCCGTGTGCCATTATCTCATAAAAAATGTTTTTAACCTCAGCTATAACTTTTTTTAGCCGCAAAGGAAAAAACATATCATGGCAATTATAAACAAATTTAAAATTTAAATAAGATTTTATTCCATAATATTTTTTTAAACTTTTCTATTTTTAGCGCGGTACTCTAAAAATTTTTTAATCAAAACTTCACAATCAAATTAAAAAGAAATTGACGTATTTTAATGATATGAATATATGCTCAATAAGAAATACAAGAGCTGTGGTGGCTCAAGAGATAGAGCACTCGTCACCCAATAGGGTGACTCAGATTGGAATTTTAGTGATGGTTGGTTGATATGTGTTCTGCACCCGACTCGCACCGACCACAGTACTGACTTAAAATATCCCTGGTGGTAAACGGATAATGGGTTCGAGTCCTCTTGTTGTCGGGCTAACCATTGGAGATTTTCATGGTTTTGCTTCCTATGTAACGCAAATGTGAGCTAGCTCCACCATGAAGTCTTCCTCGAAGGCTAATGTCTCCCAATACTTGATCCTAGAGTTTCCTTATCTTCTGGGTTGGGTTCAAAATTAAAAGGCTACAGAGCTGAACATATCGCTGGTTCAAAAATAAAATGGCTCTTCTGCACTCACTTCTCCTTTAAACAACACTAATTATGTTTTCAGAGGTGTCATTTTATTTTGAACCAGCGATATGTAGTGTTAAACTCAGAATTGGGTCAAATGTTCAATGCCGATTATAAAATGAAATAAAAAATACAGTGAAATTCAGAAGTAAATATAATATTGTCAAATGGAATCTCTAAAAAATATCACGTATTTTTTTGAGAAATCTCGTATTTTATTGACATTTCATGTATTTTATTGAGTATAGTAACGTGCAAAAAAAATTTAATAGCCTCAAAAATGACACTTTATAACAAAACCTCATCAAGTTTGGCAAAATTCAAACTATATTAGTATCATATGAATTATTCAAAGAGAAAAATCTAATTAGATAAAAGTTTAACAGCTCTTTGGAATAGCTATATTCCAAACTAACTAGATATACCAAATAACTAAGTTTAGAATAGCTATATTACGAACTCATTTCTTAAATAAGGAATGTCTTCAGATCGGTAAGCAACACTTTCTTAACTTGCCACTTTGTTTATTCACAAATTTAGACTGATTTTGAGTGCTAATTCAATTTTGAGCTTGCTACTATGCTCAATAATGAGTACATGAGATTTCCAAATTCTACTACATCTGCTTAAGAGCTATTTTGATCCATTTTTGCTCAATTTTGATAAACCCTTTTTTACTGAGTAATGTTTGAATTTACCCAAGCAATTGTGCGAATTTATTTTATATTTTTAAATTTATTACTTTTTAGAAGTTTTTACATTTTATTATTACATTATATAAAAAATCCCAGACCGCTCTCCCAGACCTCTAAAAATTAAAGACTTTAAACTGCAATAATATATTACAGTACAGGGAAAGAAACACTCATGTGAGTGTTGGATTTGTGCACAATGCCTATGGAGTCCTTACATTATATATTATTACATTATATCTTAAAATTAAGGACTTTAAACTGCAATAATATATTACAGTACAGGGGAAGAAGCACTCATGTGAGTGTGGGATTTGCGCACAATGCCTATGGGGTCCCAGGTCCCATAAATTTTCGTAAATGTTATGGATTCTCCTCACCAAAAAGTTTATAAAATCCTGTGTTACAGAATTACATTAAAGTATTAAAATAACGCAAATGTTAGTTTTAGAGTAAAGTTTTAATAATTACAGTAGGTCTAATACTATTCATAAAGAAGAAATTTGATAAACAGAAAAGAATTTCCAATATTCGCCCATTATGGAAGTGTTTGATTATAAAAAAAGTCCCATTTATCACTTTTAATTATTATAATAACATTATTTATTTTTTACTTATAAACTATACTTATATATTTTTTACTTATAAATTTAAGAACAATAGTTATGAATTGTAAAAAATTTAAACTAATTTAAACATATTTCTTATAGATTACCTAGGCTATCCATATAATTAAATTATATGTTAGGATAATCAAATCTTAAGTGAAAAGCAACTTTTTAAAGAGGTTATAGCTTTCATTAATTCGAATATTCTGAATAAATTATTTTAAAAGATAAAGATTTAATTCGTGAAATTAGTTACTCACGTTTTTTTTTTCAGTAGTCTATATATAGAATCAGAAAGTTAACACAAACTTAAGTGTCCTTAATAAAAGCATTTCAAGATTGATATCGTCAAATACAATGCTCCAGCTCCAAACCTACATTAATCGCCTTTTAATCTTATGATCACATCGAGATTTATAAATTGATTATTGCGATTTATTATTGTCGTGATTTATTTTTATAAATTGATCCTAAGTGAGAAAGAAAAAATAAAGAGATTTTAAATAAACTTCTAGCCGGAAGTTGTAAATTGCTTCCCTATTTAACCCGAGTTAGATTCGTATATATTGCAATTAGTTAATTTAAAAATGAAAATAAATTATGATTTTCAAAAAAAAATTAGCAAAAAATGGTTAGGTAGTTTTAAATTTTGCAAAATAGATTTTATTTTATACGAAATTCATTATTACATAAATTTAATTTTTAGCAGATATTAAATACTAATATGTTTTATAAATAAGTTATTTTTCAAAGGTGTAAAATAAAGGACTTTTCGTATTGGATAGAAAATCGGAATTAGCTGGAACAAAATGTTTTGCTACCCCCATAGTCTATGAAATAATTATCTAGCGTTAAAAAAGTATTTGTTTAATTTTTTTTATTTGAGACATAAACACCCGTATAAAATAATTTTTTTCACCTTTTGTTATCAATTTTCTTTGAATAACACTCACGAGCTTCGTATGTCTTCAGATACGTTTGATGAAATTTAAAAATAATTATTCTTAATGAGGCTGAAATTAGGACTTATAACGAACTCGTATTTCTTTTTTCTCTTTAAAAAAAAACTTAATTTATTTGTTGCTGAACACATGTACCATTTCGAAACTTATCACTGTTCTATACTTATGGTTTATTAATATTTTAAACTTGCTCAAAAATAACCAATTATGAACAAAAATACAATAATTTGTAAAAGCCTCTCACTATGAAATAAAAGGTTAAATTGTTGTGCAAAACACAGGAAATACATAAAACACCACGTGAAAGTTTCATAAAACTTTCACCGGCTTTTGAATAATGATTTCTATCCTAAATTTTAAATTGAAAAATGTAAGAACAAAGCTTCAAAAAGTGCTTTTTTAAATATTTACCAATACACTGTGTACTATATGCCCCTCTAGGTATTTCCTTTGATCACAAAATAAGAACCTAGATAGTTTTGAAATCCTAAAAATCAATTCTTTTAAAAAGTGAAATGGATAAAAAAAATATCTATATTTGGGTCCAAGTTCATAACTGCAGCACTGTCGAACCTTAACTACTCTCGCAAATATAGTATGATGTTTCCATTTCGAAACCTACGACTTTTAATTAAAACCTATTCTTGAAATAATATTATTTTATGGTTCAATTAATTATGAACATATGAATTAAAATATTTTTGGATAAGATACTGAAAAGAAATGCTTCTTGTACGTTTTCAGGGTCCTACACGTTATTCGTTCCATCTAATGAAGCCGTGTCAAGACTGCCATCCAATTTAATAGATCAATGGAGGCAAAACAATCCAGATTTTACGACGGCATTGTTGAACCACGTGATTCCAGATGCAGTCTCTTTGAGTCAATTGAAACAAGGCGGTAGGCTTACATCAAGAGCAAATGAAGCAACCATTTTTGTCAACAATTACAACAATGAAGTAAGTATTTTTCACATCAATAGTAAAAGTAGAAAGTAACAATTGAAAAACGTTATTTACTAAAAAAGTCAATGAAAACGCTACTCAATGAAAACGCTAATAAAATCATGCTAATGATAACTTTAATGAATAAGTTAAATGTTTGAAAAAATTTATTCGCCGAAAACGCTTATTCGCTGTAAGAGCTTATCTATATATATATTTCTTTTACACGGCGACAAAAAAAAAAGACTCATTACAACTCCCCGAATGGCAACGCTAGAAAATTGACCAATGATTGCCGCTAAAAATGTCACATGCCAAATCTAGCTGAGATGGCTCAACATATAGCGCGTGCTTTTAAAAACGAAAACTGAAATAACCAGAGAGAGCATAAGTTAGGCAGAAGTGAGTGGTCTTTGTCGATGGATCTCTATTTTAGTATTTTGTCGAAAGCGCTTTTTTTCACGAATTTATATATTACGAATTTATTTGCCGATTTTTGACTTATATCACGAATTTATTTGTTTTACTAGAATTTATTTGCTTTTGCAGGTTTTTCCATTGCAATTCACTTATTTCAATTTTTAATAGACTTAATNTTATATACTTTATATACTCTATTAAAAGAGCCCTAAAAATAGGGCTAAGTACTTGGTGGGTGGTGTGCGCACGTAAAGTACAACGCACTCCGTATTTAAATTTTAATATATAAATTGTGCTATACTAAAATTAGAAATATCATATTTCAATGAAAATAATTAAAATCGGTTTCTGAGAAAGAAGTTTTGTTTCAAGGTGTTATGTAGTTAGTGAATTTGTTTAAAACCGCGTTGTAAACGCTTTTCGGAAACACTAAAGAAAATCTTAAAATACAGAGAAAGAGAGAAACATCGTATAAATATAACACTCTATTCAACTTAACAATTAATTGATCTTCACTGAAGAATTAAGAAAATTAATCAGAATCACTAAAAAATTAGAACTATGTAAGATTTCAATAGTTACAATTAAACTAATTGACTGCGTACAATTTGTTCATATTTAGGTTCACTTTATAATTGTTATAATGTAAAAGAGTTTGTAATCCTCTTTCGTAAATTTAGTGATTTTTTTTAAATTTTTATTTTTACTCATTACACTTAAATAATAAAAAAAGATTTTTTTTTTCTTTACAACAGAGCTTCTATTATAAATTTCTCATTCTCTTTCGTACAAATATATTTCTGGGCAAATTATTGATATCTCTAATAATTTTATTTTAACAAAAAGTATAATGAAACCATTTTTAATTACAATTTACATCCGAAGAAAAGAAAAATGGCAAAAAGAAGTACTTGTTACTAAATTTACTTTTCTTCTCAGCTTCTTTTTATATCGTGTTGTTTGTGCAAACTACAGCATTAGTTCGAAAACATAAATTGTCTTAAACTAGACCTCTCTTTTCACTAAATATTTAATTCGACAAAACATGCACAATTTTATTAAAAAAATGTTTAAACAAACTTTCTAATTTACTCATTTCGTGATCAATAAAATTATTTTCCTTTGAAAATTAGTTTTATCTTAGCACAATATTTTAAAAATGTAAATTCTAATTTTAAAAAATGAAAACGATTCCAAAAATGCGATATTTATAAAATCGTTTGCTCATAATATCCATATAACGTTTGTCACTATAAAAATTTTTTTCCCTAGATACAAGGCAAAACCAGAGCAATATTATTAAATATTAAACTTATCTTTTACAAAATGGCACAAGTTCATTAAAAACAATCTTGTTCTTTTTTGACTCGCTTTTAAGTATTATTTTTCAATAATATAAACTTATAAAGAACAACGCATTTAAATTTTAAATTATTGGAAAAAATTTCAAGATTAAATGTTGCGATCGCTAAAATTTTAGAAATGTCCCCCAAAATGTAAAGATTTCTAATCGGACTGCTAAATATAAACTATTTAGTAAACCCGAATTATTATTATTTTTTAAATTTTTTTTCTTTTTTTGAAAAAACTGATTTTTTTAGGTATTTAAATGATCAACAAAAAAATTATGTGGTTCAAAACATTATAATTTAATTTGCTTTTACATTTAAAAAAAACAAAAAAACAAATTAAAGATTTTTCTCCTGGTCGCCTTTTTTTTCCGATTAACAAGTTCTGCGTAAATGTAAAGTCACCAAGCACCGTAGCATTTTTTTTTTTTTTAATTTACCGTTTTATTGCAGAAGTTAATCAACTCAACCATATGTCCATCTATGTTTCTTTTTCTCCTCTGATCTCAAAAGATGTTAGTTGAGATAAGTGGATTCTGGATCAGAAAATAATTAAATAATGAAACCAGTATAGCTCAAGGCGTTTTAAAATTTTTTATAGTAGCAATTTTTAATGCTTTAAACTTTTTAATAGTTTATGTTGTCTTACCTAAACTAATTTACTGAGATATAAAAAATTGAGTGGAAAAATAAAGAATCTACAAAAGATTGACGTCAGCCTAGAAGTTTCTCTTTTTGTTAACCTGAAAAAGCTTATTTAAAATTTGTTGATGATTATTCGCATAGGAAAAAATTAATTTAAATATAATAATATAACTTTTTTATTTTTATTTTCTTTCTTTAGAATTTCCTTCCTAATTTAGTCCGCTTCTAATCTTTTTAAACATCCTGTTTTGTCAAAAGAGCTTATTAGAATGATCTAGATTTTATTGTTCAAATGGCATTAACACAATAAGTTAGAAAAGTTCAACTGCATTTGTAAAATGCAGTTTTTTTACCAGTAATTCGTTTAATCAACAGTTATGTTCTACTATTACAGATTTAAAATGAATTTAGGGGCAAAATAGTTAGCGCATACACAGAATTTTTATATGCCAGTCAAATTTTTACCAGTATTTTAAAAGAGTAATTTCTTTTTAGTTGTATATATTATTTTAACAATTGATATTTTTACAATCACTTTTACCCATCGCTATAATTACAGAAATGTTTTTTTTTTATATCATAATAAAAAGACTTTTTTCTTCAAAATCAAAATGGATCTTCAAGTTAAAATTTTCTCCATTTAAATTTTACATAGCATAAAATGAAAACAAGCAGCATGCATAAAATACAATTTTTGCTAAGAGGTTTCCTTCAATATTCACGATAATGAGTACACTCTTAGTGTTTTTAATCGCACAGTAATTTAACCGCAAGTTAAAAAAAATATGGCAACCGTCTACAATTCTTACCTCAAATTTACAAACTTAAGCTCAGCATTGTTATGCTAAAGAATTTTATAGAGAACTGCGAAGTTTTTTTTCTTCAGAATTATTAAAANAAAAAAGTCCACAAAATAATTTTAGATTACCGTAAAGTGAAGTTGATCAAAATATCTGAGACTCTAAAGATATCAAAGGAAAGTGTTAAACATATCGTGAATGAATATTGAAATTGAAATTACATATTTGCTGACTTGTGTGCTCAATATAGGCTTATAAGTCATTGTCAAGTAGAAAATACAGATAGAACAATTCAGAGAAAGACATCACAAAGAATACATCCAGGGTTACGGCGGGATTCGAACCCGCTATCTCCACGCTTAGAATAAATATTTGGGTATGAGAAAGCTCTTGGCAAAGTGAGTGCCGCGCGAGCTCACAGTTGACCAAAAACAACAACGAATTGATGATTCTGAGCTGTGTTTGAGGCTGTTTAATCGTAATAAATCTGAATTTATGTGTCGATATATGACAATGGGTGAAACATGGCTCCATAATTTCACACTGGAGTTCAATCGACAGTCAGCGAGTGAACTGCACGAGAGGAACCAACTCCAAAGCTTGGAAAGATGCAAAAGTCAGCAGTCAAAGTTTCGGCATCAGTATTTTGGAATGCTCATGGTTTAATATTCATTGACTATCTTGAAAAAGGAACAACCATCAACATCGACTATTACATAGTGTTATTGGAACGTTTGAACTAGGAAATCACAGAAAAACGGCCCCATTTGAAGAAGACGAAAGTGCTGTTTCATCAAGACAATGCACCATGTCACAAGTTAATGAAAACGATGGCAAAACTCTATAAATTGGTCTTCGAATTGCTTCCGCATCCACGGTATTTTCCAGATTTGGTCCCCAGCGACTTTTTTCTGTTCTCAGACGTCAAGAGAATGCTCGCTGGAACGAAGTTCGCGCCCATAAAGAAGTAGTCACCAAAACTAAGCCCTATTTTGAGGCTAAAGACAAATCGTACTATAAAAATGGTATCGAAAAATTATATGACCGCTATAATCGTTGTATCGCCCTTGAAGGAAACTATATTGAATAATAAAATGAAATTTTATCATAAAATTTTTTTCTCTATGTTACCCTACGAACTTTTCAGCCCACCTGTTATATGGTAACCGTCTATGATGAAAAATTCTTATCTCAAATTTACGAACTTAAGCTCAGCATTGTCATGCTAAAGAATTTTATAGAGAACTGCGAAGTTTTTTTTCTTCAGAATTATTAAAAAATTAAGTTACGGAACGGCGTTCATTCTGCCGCTAGAAAAGTACTAAAAGTACCACATAGGCTCATACATTCTTTGGCCCTACTACACTCCTGCTGAAAATACTTTTGCTCAAATGATCGGATTTTCTTTTCGCGTACAAAGACTCAATCTCAATAGCTCCAGGGATTAACTTTATGCATGCTAGTTAATTTGTGCAGACGGTATTTTCAGTTAGGAAATCAGAGACAAAAACGTACTGTCTCTGAATAAACATACCTTCCTTTTCGTAAGACTCGGATTTAGGCTCGGATTCCGTAAGACTCGGATTTAGAGACATAGCCACTATATTAGAAATATTGTCCCAATAGTTTGATCAGGAGAACGATCAAGCATATCTCGCGAAATTTTTTAAGCGGAGTGAAAATTTTTTGCCACTATTACAAAATTAATTCCACGCAATCCAAAAACAATGCCTCGCAAAAATTACTTTTTAATAATTATATTAATTTTTTTAAAATTTTATTTAAAATCAGTAGAAAAAATTTTAATAGTAAGTTATACAAATTTTTACATCATTTTAAAGAATGTAATTTTATAGAGAAAAATGCAAAATTTCAACGAAATCGGCCGAATAGTTCGTGTGAAATCAAATTTTAAATATACGATTTTTAAAAAAAAAATTTGATAAATCAGAAACTATTTGACCGATTGCTGTAGAAATTTGTACACCTCACAATTCAAAATTTTTTCTATTATTATTAAATAAAAAAATAAGTAGTCATTAAAAATTATTTTTTGCTTGGGATTATCTTCAAATAAATTAATTTTATAATATTTCAATTTGCTTAAAAGACACGAGATATGGTTGAAGACGCAAAAAGTAAAATTAAAATGCAGGGGCACAGATTTTCGATCGCTCTTCTGATCGAACTATTAGGGCCATATTTCTGACATTGCGGCTGCATCAGCCGTAATGGCTCAGGTGATAGACGGTTCGGCTCCCTATGAGGTGAACCGGGTTCGAATCCCAGCGATGACAGGTCGAAACGAATTTCGCACCCGGCTCCCGCCAACCGCAGTGCTGGCTTAAAATATCTTCTGTGGTAGACGGATAATGTGTTTAGAGTCCCCTTGCAGTCAAATTAACCCTAGGAGGTTTTCGTGGTTTTCTTCGCCATGTAACGCAAATACGGGTTTAGTTCTATCAAAAATTCCTCAGCGAAAACCAAGTTTCTCCTAATCATGTAGTTCCCTTGTCTTCTAGATTTGGTTCAAAATTAAGAGGGTGTGGAGTTGAACATCGGTAGTCGTAAACACAAAATTGGGTCTGCAGTTCAACGACGGTTATAAAATAAATTTAAATATTGCTGCTACCCCCATCGGATTCAGAAATCTGTATATTTCGAGAAAAAGGTACATTTATTCAAAGAAAGTGGGTTTTCGCATGCACTTTCGTACGTTCTCTGCATAAATGAATCAGTATATTTAAGGTAAGTCCCTCGATCTACTAAAATTGAGTCTTTGCCCGGTCATTGGGAAAATCCGATCATTCTATCAAAAGTTATTCAAAATGGTTTCTTTTCCGCACACTTTATAATTGGTTTATTAGTTTAGTTCGATCGAGGATTAGCTATGTTATGGTGGATGTGGGAGTATTGCCCGGATCCATTCCATTGGATCACCTCTGCAGGAACTTTAACTGAATCACCCCAATTAATATTGCAGATAATAACAATTACACAAAATTGATTAACAAACGCTGATAGCAACAACACTTTACACCTATTAGAACGGTAATACGTATAAACCTCGAAAATAATTGGTTGCGTTCTTGATATATTTTCACTATTGTTCATACATATGAGAAAACGATTCCGAAAACATCTCTTTAAACTCAAAAATTGTATTATTTTTCTTATTTTAGTTTTGATACATACACTCATTCCAGAACTTTGAAAATAATACTGTTGATGTTTTCGACATATTTTTACTTAGGTCCAATTAAGTTGGTTATTATAATAAGAAAATGATCCTGAGCTAGCACTTTCTTTAAAAATTATTTGCTCAAAAAATTTTATTATTTCCGCATTTTTTAAAATTTATATAAAATCTTTTTATTTTGGAAGTATTATTAATGTTTCATTGCTTTTCAAGGTGCATCGAGTATAAAGGATGATTTTCAATGTATTTCATATAAAATAAGTGCAAAAAAAGTTAACTTTCTTTTTAAAAAGTAAAAGAATTACAGCTATAACAGTTTACATAAAAAGTTAGACACCAAAAATAAGCAAAACGAAATTTTAAAGACATGCTCAGCTTTTGGTTTAACCACTGACTACAGAAAACTCACAGTCAGCTTTTGGGTTAAGACTACAGAAAGGATCCAGTGCGTCAGCAGACTGTGTGTCCTCTGATAAAGTGCTATTTTTGCTAACATACATGTCTTTCAAATTTCGTTTTGTTTATTTTTGGTGTCTAACTTTCTATGTAAATTGTTTACATAAGACAAATTTGGTTTTAGCTACTTTTATTTATTTTAAAGTTTTATTCTAAAATTTTTATCCTAAAACTTGTTTAAATCAATTTCATACTTTGATTCGATTAGCTATAACTATATGTCATTTAAATTTTCTCTCTAAACAGGCTGTCACTATCAATGGTCATCGTATTATCTATGGCGACGTCACTGCACCCAAGGGAGGGCTCATTCATGTCATTGATGGTACTCTATGTCCAGTTGCTGACCAAGACATTATTAGCACCCTGCGGACATGCAATAAGTACGACGGCTTCCTTACTTTAGCCGACGTCACTAAGTTACTGGACACAATGCGAGATGGTAAGAAAATAAATACATTATGCTATATGAAATCAGATTTTTTTTTTTTTTACTGCAATGACAAATTAATTAAGAGGTATAATTTAAGGGCTTGCTGTAACAAAGAGTTCAAGTATAGTGATCATAGGACCAATATTCACGAATCTTGGCCGAATAAGTGCTAGAGGGGCCATTATCAGCCAATATTTTGTCTAGATAAGTTCTATTTAGACTTGTTCGATTCTCCCAAAATTTTATAGCTTCTTTATTGAGCCTTATATTGATTGATTCGATTAAGACTATGTTTTTTAGCGGCTATTTATCGTAAGTAAGACATTTAAAATTGCCCGAGCCTATGTAGGTACTCTGGGGCAAAATCTAGACACCAGTTCTTTATGTTTTTGTTGAGCCATTTTTAACGTTCACTGGAACGAAGATATAATTATAACTAATAAACACCCATTAAAAAAATATTTTTTTTTGAAATCATAAAACGCTATTTATTTTTTTAAAAAAACAAATTACCATTTGGAAAAATTCCTTCATAGAAAAAGTAGTTTAAATTTTGGTGCTAAGTTCTAGTTTTAAAAGATGATACCAACCTTAGTTGTTTGAAATGTTGAAAACAAATATGTAAAGATGATCGTATATTGATTAAGTATGAATATACAGTGTGCCAAAAAAAGGACCACTCTGAATAACCTACAATCTAATGATCGGATCTTCACGTTTTAGAATGGGTGGGACTTCAAATACGCTAATTATTTGCAGCAAACTATATGTTAAATTACGAAATCAGGCACAAAAATGCACTTTCTCTGAATAAACATACCTTTTTTTCCGACTGTTTCTGTCCCAGCAATCTGGGAAATATAGCCCTATAGTTTGGTCAGGAGAGCTATCCAAAGTTTGGACCTCTTAATGTTAATTTTACTTTTTGCGTACTTCGCCCTATCTCGAGAACTTTTTAAGCGAATTGAAAACTTTTTGCACAGAATTATAAAATTCGTATATCCGAAGATAATTCCCTGCAAAAAACAAACCTTAGTAAATATTTATTATTTTATTTAATAATAGTCGAACAAATTTTGAATTATAAGGTATAAAAATTTTTACATCATTTTAAAGTAAGTAATTTTACATGTTAAAATGCAAAATTTAAGTAAAAGCGGTTGAATAGTTCCTGAGATATCGAATTTTAAATAAACAACTTTTATAAAATTCGATATCTATGAAATGAAATAATAAAGTATAATAAATAATTACTAACATATGCTTTTTTAATTCTCTTAAAAAGTTTTCGAGATACGGCGAAATACGCAAAAAGTAAAATTAAAATTCGTTTTTGTGTGTGATTTTGTAACTTAAAATATCGTCTGCACTAATTAATTATCATATTTGAGGTCACCCCCTCAAACGATTAAGTCCCAGAACGTGAAGATTCGGTCATTAGATCAAAAGTTATTCAAAGTGGTCCGTTTTTCTTTTAGCGAACTGTATATTCAGAAATCAGCCATTAATTTTAATGATATCAGGATATGTTTTAACCTGAAGTATTCAATGAGTGCTGTTCCTCATAATTTATTACGAAAAAGTATTAAAAATATTTAAAATAGATTTATAAGTTAAAAATGTTACTATAGAAATGATAGTAATTTTTTTATTTATTTCAGATGGTCCATACACTGTCTTTTTACCCAGCAATGAAGCTTTGACAAAAATTCCTTCGGATGAATTAAATGTTCTTAAAGAAAACGTCACTCTGTTAAGAGGTATGTGGTTAAAGCTTGAATAAATACATTCAAGGAAAGAAAAAAAAATTGAAAAGCAAATAATTTTTAGTGCCATTTATTTCTTAATGGGAACCTTACACAACTGATTTGCTTATTCAGAGTAATTGCGCAAGAATGGTGTTAAAACCGAGCCCATGTTTTAATAATAAAATAATTTTTTTTTTATTTATTGATTTATTAGGTTCGCAATATTTTTTTTAATTTTATTTTATAACCTGAGTTAAACAGCCTACACAAATCTGATTTTACTGCTACCAATGTTCAACTCCGTAGCATTGTAATTTTGCACTCAACCCAGAAGACAAGGGAACTCCTGGATCAAGTATTAAGAGACGATGCTTTTTGACAGAATTAACCCATATTTGCGTTACATGGAGAGGAAAACCACATATGGTTTTTCCGACAGCAGAGGACTCTATCCCATGATGCGTGTCTACCACAGGGGTTATTTTACGTCAGGACTGTGGTCGGTGTAGACTGTAGAGTTCGGATTGATCAGCCATCGCTTGTATTCGAGCATAGGTCACCTGACCGGGAGGCGATCACCTCAACCCCTGAGCCATCTCGACTAAGTGTGCAATATAGAGTAATTATATGGAATTGAGTATGGGATAAACGGCCTTTTCAGGAAATTTTCACATAAGTGTGACTGAATTTGGTTGATGAAATGCTCAGAGTTTCATCAAACATAAGTTGATAAAGCCTTATTGGGATAAACATTTGACTTCAAAAAAGAAAATTATTAAGGAGTTAAATTGTATGATTTGATATACATAGGCTTATTTGTATATTTAAGGCAGTAGTAAAAGTACAATAAGTGAAATAAAATATGGAACATAAAATATTATTGTCATACTTCTATCAATGAGTAATTAATGGTCGTCGTGGCTCAGGGATTAGAACGTTTGCCCTCCAATGAGGTGATTCGGATTTGAACTCCAGCGGTGGCTGGTTGATACGAATTCCATATCTGGCTTAACCAGACTATAGTGCCGACATAAAATATCCTCAGTGTTAGACGAATCATGGGTTAGAGTCCCCTTGCCGTCAGACTAACCATGGAAGGTTTTCGTAGTTTTTCTCTCCATGCAACACAAATGCGAGTTAGTTCCATCTAAAAGTTCTCTAAGAAGGCAAATTTCTCTCAATACTTAATCCAGTATTTAACTTATTTTCTGGGTTAGGTTCAAAATTATAAGGTTACAGAGTTGAACATTGATAGTCGTAACCTCAGAATAGGGTCAGCTGTACAAATAATTAAATTAAGAAAAACATATAATTAAGTAAAATAGTCTTGTCGTAACTTATTAAGAGGCAACAATTCACAAGAAGTTTATTTATTACTTCGAAAGATTTTTAATAAAGAATATTTACAGTAGGGAGACCAGAACGTAATGTCGTTTCTGCACGTTTTGATATTCCTTTTTCATTTATCAGCACGTTGTGTTTTTTAAAAGTCATTCCGACAGTTGAGGGAATTTAGCTTTTACTCGTAAATAATTTACTCTTATTTATTTTCGTAGTTTATATTGAGATGACAATTTAAATACCAGAAAAGGTACATATCCGGCATTTCATATCTTTAAAGTTTCAAAAAGGTACATTATAAAAATTATGGTGTAATATTTTTTCGACTATGATGTAGAAAAAGAACCCCCCCCCTCCATAAAATTGTGTAAAGGAACACTTCTTTTCAAGTTTAACACCAAATCAAGCTTTCATATACAATTTAAGGGGTGTAATTTAAATCTAATCACCTAAAGTGGAAAAAACTTACACCAATCTCACATGCATTCACACCATACTTGAATTATTTTTTCTGAAAACACCGATGTTGGTGTGAGTTTGTTGTTGTCCTCCACGTAGAAATACATTTAAAGAAACAAGAGTTAACTGGTAAAATATGTATGTTTTTAGTTGGGTAATAAGGATAATTATATTTGAATTTTTAAACCTTCGCCAACTGTATCAAATTATTTTATGGTGTATAACTTCTACTCTTTGGTTATGCTAAGTCTAATTTGAATTTTGTCTTAATATTCTCTCTGTGCTCTAAAAAAAAATTTTTTTTTTCTCACTGTAATTATAAATTGCAGTGTAGGGCTGCCACAGTAAAAAACGAACCAAAATAGTTGCTTTTAGTAGCCTCAAGCATGAAAATAGTTGCCTGAACAGGAACAAAAATCTATCGAAAATTATAGCTTAATTGAAAAATACTATGACTAGGATTGGGTGATGTCAGAAATTTTAAATTGTGATACATCGTCAGTTAGACATCGCGTTAAAGTGATGTATCGCGATTTAGCATATGTTCAAAAATTACCTATGGGAAATCTTTNCAGCCATCGCTTGTATTCGAGCATAGGTCACCTGACCGGGAGGCGATCACCTCAACCCCTGAGCCATCTCGACTAAGTGTGCAATATAGAGTAATTATATGGAATTGAGTATGGGATAAATGGCCTTCTCAGGAAATTTTCACATAAGTGTGATTGAATTTTGTTGATGAAATGCTCAGAGCTTCATCAAGCATAAGCTGATAAAGGCTTATTGGGATAAACATTTGACTTCAAAAAAGAAAATCATTAAGGAGTTAAATTGTATGATTTGATATGCATAGGCTTATTTGTATATTTAAGGCAGTAGTAAAAGTACAATAAGTGAAATAAAGTATGGAACATAAAATATTATTGTCATACTTCTATCAATGAGTAATTAATGGTCATGGTGGATCAGGGGTTAGAGCGTTTGCCCTCCAATGAGGTGATTCGGATTTGAACTCCAGCGGTGGCTGATTGATACGAACTCTATTCCTGGCTTAACCAAACTACAGTGTTGACATAAAATATCCTCAGTGTTAGACGAATCATGGATTAGACTCCTCCTACCGTCAGACTAACCATGGAAGGTTTTCGTAGTTTTTCTCTTCATGCAACACAAATGCGAGTTAGTTCCATCTAAAAGTTCTCTAAGAAGGCAAATTTCTCTCAATACTTGATCCAGTATTTAACTTATCTTCTGGGTTAGGTTCAAAATTATAAGGTTACAGAGTTGAACATTGATAGTCGTAACCTCAGAATAGGGTCAGCTGTTCAAATAATTAAATTAAGAAAAATAGTCTTGTCGTAACTTATTAAGAGGCAACAATTCACAAGAAGTTTATTTATTACTTCGAAAGACTTTTAATAAAAAATACTTACAGTAGGGAGATCAGAACGTAATGTTGTTTCTGCATGTTTTGATATTCCTTTTTCATTTATCAGCACGTTGTGGTTTTTAAAAGTCATTCCAAAGACAATTAAATTTAACTTTTACTCGTTAATAATTTACTCTTATTTATTTATTTTTGTAGTTTATATTGAAATGACAATTTAAATACCAGAAAAGGTACATATCCGGCACTTCATATCTTTAAAGTTTCAAAAAGGTACATTATAAAAATTAAGGTGCAATATTTTTTCGACTATGATGTTGAACCCTCCTCCCCCCATAAAATTGTGTGAAGGAACACTTCTTTTCAAGTTTAACACCAAATCAAGCTTTCATATACAACTTAAGGGGTGTAATTTAAATCTAATCACCTTAAGTGGGAAAAACTTACAGCAATCTCACATGCATTCACATCATACTTGAATTATTTCTTCTGAAAACACCGATGTTGGTGTTAGCAAGTTGTTTACAATCCAGTAGGAGTTGGCGTGAGTTTGTTATCTTCCACGCAGACATATATTTAAAGAAACAAAAGTTTACTGTTAAAATATGTATGTTTTTAGTTGGGTTATAAGGATAATTATATTTGAATTTTTAAATCTTCGCCAACTGTATCAAATTATTTTATGGTGTATAATTTCTATACGCTTTGGTTATGCTAAGTCTAATTTGAATTTTGTCTTAATATTTGCTCGGTGCTCTAAAAATAATTTACTTTTTTCTCACTGTAATTATAAATTGCAGTGTTATTGAATACTCATTATTGCTACAATTTTTAGTTTGAAATTCAATTCATCAGTCATAGGTATATTTGTATAAAAGGCAGTAAATAACCGTACGCTTTATATCTTAAATTGTGATTGCATGGCTGCCTTGTATTTTACATGTATCGAAAGACACTTCCATATAGAGTAAATATCCATCATCAGTTTAGTTGTGAAAATAAAATAATATTTAGAATTTTCCTTTCTCTTCTCCACCCCTTCCGACATTTGAGGGAGGTATGAAAAACCTTACAACAGTTGGAATGATTTTAAGCGAGCTAATTGGTTTTCTTTTTTGAAGCGAGATGAAATTGGGTCTATGTCCAAAACATCCAATTAGCAAGCTCAAATTTTCTCTTCAGTTTGAGTAGTTGTAAGATTTGTTTAAATGTGGTGGAGATAGGAAGGAATTGTTATGGCCAAACTCTGTTATGCAAGAACTGTTCAAATTGAGATCATAGATAAAATAAGGTTTAAAATAGTATTTGGTAGAACAATTTGCATCTAATATATATTCTTTTTGAACAGAATTTTTAGATTATCATGTTGTACAAGGTGCCTTCTTTAGCGGTGATTTGAAAGATGGTCAATACCTTACAACACTTCATCAGAGGCAACCTATCAGAGTGGGTGTTCGAGTAGATGGTTGTTACAGTGAGTTCTCATTCCTTTTAACACTAGATTGTCCAAGGAAGTCATTTTGACTTTTTAATTTCATTTAAAAAAACAATGATGTATACACATTTTCTTAGAATTTTGTAATTTTTTTATTGCTAATATTTACTAATAACTTGTTATATAACTGTGAATATAAAAAAAAATTAATTTTAAACAAATTTCTTTACACATTAGTTATTCCTTCACAATCCAGTCACTTGGACTGCTTTTGGGCAATATAGGTATATACTAAGTCTAGTTTTTTTTAGTGGAAGTCTTGAGATTATAAAATTTTAGGTTTATAATAGTTTCAATTTTATAAATCATTCCCTAATTACAACTATTTGTTCGAAACTTGCAGTTTACCATGGCTGTCAATATAAAAAAATCAATCCAGTTTATTTTCATGAAATATAAATTTAACGATAACTATTGAGCAATTACCAAAATATTTTATAACTTAGGAAAAAGAGCATTGTCTAGGTAAAAAAATTAATGACCTCAAAACACAATTTTCACGGCATTATGCTTTCAATAAATTTTTTTAAATAGAAATTTCAGTTTATATAAATATAACTCAGTGCGATTTACAATCATGTGATGTCAGCTTAAAATAAATTCTTTTAAAAAAGCTATACAATTATTTACATTAAATAGCAAATTGTTCACAAACACAATGCTTGAATACGCCATTTGGAGAGAAGATCGGTGGTTCCATGGTTTGACCCTATCCTAGCCTTAGTTGGATAGGAATTTACAATGATATTTTTTTAAATTTCCACAATGCTTTCTTTTGAAACTATGTTCAATGTACACTGGTTATCATAAATTAAGGAAAATTCACAAAAATCGCGATAACTCAAGAAATTACACATGGAATTTTATGAAACTTACCCACAATATACAACACATAGTAAGGTATTAAACAACATAAAAAGAAATTATCAGACATTAATAGTAGTATAGAAATTAGCACATGTATAAAATAAACAAATTGGAAGTATCGGTTTGCANTTAAACTCAATTAGGAATTAATTAGGCTGGCCTTCTCCATGACTATAAATAAGTCACAAGGTCAGACTTTTGAGAAAATCAGTTTAGTATTGACTAAACAAGCTTTAGTCATGGACAACTTTATTGATGCCTGTCAAGAGTTAAGTCATTTGACAGCCTTTCAGTAATTGCTCCAAGATGCCAAATCTATAATTGTGTTTTCAAAGAAATTCTGAATGCTTAGTATTAATTTCTTAGAGCTTTGCGGAAAAAAATGTTTTTTGGAAAAAAATTTAATTGAAACTTCTATTGGCAGTAGGCAAGGGGAACTGCCAAAATCATAACTCCCCGATTAGAAATGCAGCACGTCGACCTCCACGTGGTATTTCTCGGGTAATGCTAACAGTCATGCATTTTAATTTATTGTACGTAAAACATCCTTATTTTGTTCTAAAATGTTATGTACTTTATGACAAATGTTAATTAATATAGAAATTGATTTCAATAATGCTGATTACCAAAAAATATTTCATTTGGCGATAAAAAAAAATTTTGTGTTCTTGAATATGAAAGACTTTTTGAGGGTTATTATCTCACAAGGAAAAGTTAGGGTTTTAAATTTATGTTTTTAAGTAATAAATTTTTTTTCTAAAACTTTCAGAATTTCTAGCATTAACTAATTTATTATACACATTTAGTTTAATTTAGGGGAGTAACTGCAATATTTGATAATTTATTTTGCTAATATGTTTCTCATTTAGCTAATGTTTTGATTTTTTCACCATGTACAATCTAAATAGCTAATATACTTTTTTAAAAGCCACTTAAAACATTGATAGAATTCTTCTACATAAGTACAATACTATGTCTTTGATGATAAAATACTATGTCTTTGATGATAATATACTATGTCTTTGTGGTAGAACATTGTGTTCATTGGCGAGCGAGCGCAGCGAGCCATGGTTCAGGGCATGAACCACATAGGATTGCGTAGCAATTCTCGGAGGTTGGCGAGCGTTAGCGAGCAGGGGGCGGAGCCTCCTAGTTTTTTAAAATTTCCACGATGATTTCTTTTGAAACTATGTTCAATGTAGTTTTCAGTTCCATATAGTTTCTTAACTAAAAAATTTTCAATTTATTTGAAAATAAAGACAGAAACTAACATACTTCTTTCTGCTATGACTCTTCACAAGCTAATGGTGTAAATAATTTGTTGTATAATTTATTTTAAATTTATATAAATTTCTAAAATCTAAATACATTTAAGAGCCTGTTTGAGTATTTATACTTAACAGTATATGATTATAAACATTAATATGCTATTTGTAATTGTGAACTCAATGTGATTTACAGTAGTCTATATATTCAGTATGCTATTTGCTATATTTAGTAGTGTTGATAAAATTTGTTTATATTTCAAAAACTAAAATAGGGTTTACCATACTGATTTACATAAAGTATTGAAGGTCTTTTAATTTCATAAATTTTTTTATCAAATTAGATTTTAATTGTTTTTTCTTTAATTTTGATTTAAAAATGATATATTAAATAACTTGGAAATTAATAATATTACATAAACTAGATTGCAGTTATAAACTGGTTAATAAATTAATGACTTTAACACTAAAAAAAAAAAGTATTTTTTTTTTTAAGAAATATATTTATTAGATTTTTAAATTTATAATTCTGAATCGTAATAGATATTTTTAATGCATTTCAGTAATATCAAAACTTAAGTTAAAATCTTTAATTTGAAGTTGTATTTACAAACGAGGTAAAATTTATCAAAATTACTGCCTGCAATTTCGATAAAGACCTCGTTCTTGAAATTTATAAAGCCAATCCAAATTTGTAAAGAAGTAATACCATTATTGTGAAGTTGAAGCTTATTGTTTTACTTTTAGGGCGACTTGTAGATGCTAACAACTCACCCGTTTTCAAGGCAGACATTCCAACAAAGAATGGTGTAGTCCATGTTATAGATTGGATCTTGAGACCGGCTGACTTGAACTGGTGCGAGGGTGTAATATTTCCTTGAAAACTCTTTCACACATCTCATGAACTGCAATTCATCATCTTATCCATTTGCATTGAAGCAGCCCACCAGTATTTTGCACTTATTCATGTTAATTAACACTCGCCATATGATTTTAGTGTAAATATGGTGGTTATTAAATATTTATTCATGAGAGAAGAAATGAGAGATTGAACTCAAGCAGTGCTTAAGTACAAGGATTTCTTAATTTTCCTCAGAGAGTACAATTAGAAGATTAGATTATTACTGTTTATAGTGGTTATGTCATTTGCGCATCATTCTGAGAATGAAGTGTAAAGTTTTATATTGTGATTTTGCATGTTATGTATGAACTGTGGGAAATAAAATGATGCATGTTGTATAATGCTTGGATATTGCTAAAAGGATAACACTATTTAAACCAGAGGTCCCCAATTGGTGTTCCGCAAAACCCAAGTGTTCCTTGAAAGGTCACAGGTGTTCCGAAAGTTAGGACTTTTTATTTACCATGATTTTACAAAACATCCTAATCAATTAAGAAGCCTTGCAATAAAATTTATATATAATTACCCTTTCATCAATTATAATTTGAACTGATAACTATTGTCAATGTTTACTTTTGTCCTATTTTTATTTAAATTAAAACCATAATTCAGTTTATGTATACAATAAAATCTAGTTGAGAACTAGAATGATACTAATCTAGGCCTGTAAATTCCAACTGCCTGACATAAAACCTAATTTTAAGACCAGTAAATTCAATTGATAAAATTAGTCTTACGATTGAAAGTTTTCCTTCATAAAATGTTTTTGAAATAATGAATAAAAGTGCAATCATTCATTATTTTCAAAATAATAATTACAATCGTTTTCTACAAGTATCAGGATCACGTTAAAAGAAGGTCAAACATTTAGGGATCTGTGGCTGAAAAAAAAATGGAAACTGCTTATTTAAACCAGATGTTGAAATAGTGCAACCATAAGCCAAAATAAAATTGTAATGTGTTCGTAGGGCATTGTTTTGTTATAAATTTGCATAGACATTTAAAAACATTAAATTTTTAAGTGCATTATAAATACAAAAATTTTTTAAATTAATTTTCATTTGAATCCTTCATTTGACTAGAATCATCTACAATCCTTTCATTTGACTGGATATATAAATTATTATATTCATAAGAAAAGCAAATAAAAAAATTGGATACAACATACTTTCAATATCATAAACAATTTTGAAAATGAAGTCAACACACTATGATAAGGGAGTTTTTTAATATAATCTGACAATGGCAGTTTATTGTAAACCTATTCTTTTCTATTTAAATCCTAAATATTTTTGTCTTACTTTTAAAAATAAATTATAATTGCTGCATTTAGACTTATTGCTAACCGTCAATACACATATATTTATAAGTGCTTATTATGTCTCATGACTACTTTTTAGAATATATTTTTCTTCATTTAATCAATATATTTAGTCCTGAACTTATTACCTTGAAAACTCGCTATCTTAAATTTTTTTAGCAAGCCTTCAATTTTTAAATATTGCAAGTATACTGTTCATATTTAGTACATAAGAGAGGTCATTCAACTTTATAGATATTAGCTATTTTGTACTGATTGAATTTCTCTTGCTCTAAAAATAACAATACGATCCTTTCTTTTTTTTTTGATTGTCATAACTTTATAATCAATAGAATATGTACTTAGGAATTACAGAAAATTTTATTGACTTCAGTGACTATAATCTCAATGATACATTAAATATTTTTAAGACTTTTTGGCCACAATAAAAAAATAAATGAATAAATAAGAGAAGAAGCTTAAGTACTTTTAACATTAGTTAATTACATTCAATTAGAAAACACATAAAAAAGCAATACAATTCTAGAAAAGGAATTTATTATCAAATATATAAATATTAAAATCAATATGAATGAGGGATATATATAATGAACGAGGTAATATAAAAGCATTCTGAATATAAAAAAAAAAACGAATTCCGAATAAATAAATTCTTAAAATCAAATGTCATCCATTTGTAGACCATCAGTATTCTGAAAGAAAAAAATAAATGAAGTTTAGATAATCACTAATAAAAATTATAGAATAAATTCATAAAAGTAAAATTTTCATTGGTGCTCCAGAACTATTCAAATGATTATTTTTGTTCCTATTTAAAAAGGTGTAAAAAATATTTATTAATCACTTTCTTGACTGAACTAAAGTGATTATATTTTTTCTAGATTTAGGATACCTATATTTTGCATGAATCCAAAACAGTATAAAAGATGTTTATTTAAACGAATTATTAATTATTCTTTATTTGTTACAAGTCGTAATTTAAAACATCACCCCACACTAATTATTCAAATCAGCATAAGGCCCTTAGAATGGGATAATCTGATAATTATATTAAAAGCTATTAGATGCTTGATCTTTTGGGTTCTTGTTTACAGCATTTCTAATTATTTTTTCTTTCAACTATATAAAGAACACTTTAAGAATGTAAGCTGTAAAGCACACCAAATTAAAAGGAGTAAAGATGAAGAAAAAAAAGTAGTATTACATATAAATTATATTTCTTAAGAAAAATAAGATGTTTTTCAATTCAAAAATTACTGGATTTAGAATAAATTTAAAAAATAATTATTATAAATATATAAACTCACTCCAATTTTTTTTATTAGGAGATGAAGCAGTTTCCGTATTGAAAAGCTTTTTTCGGCCTCTGGTCATACGAGGACTTGGCATACTAGTTACTGTATTGGCTGAAAGATAAAATTTATAAATATTAAAATTTTTTTTATAGACATATCAAGTATATTTTTTAAGAAAGTCAATAAAAATAAAAAATCTTAAGTAACAGCATAAAAAGGAAGAGTAATGCAGTAAATAATTTTTTTGAAAGTTTGATATATGTTTTAAAGTTTCATTCTTTATTGGGTTCTTGCTGTTGATCATTAAAGAGGAACAGCCACTGTAAATTTTTTTAAATAATTAAAAAAAATGGTACTATTCACAATCAAAATCATACCAGAAGTTAAAATAATTATTCGATAGATCTTGATTCATAGGCATTTTTTGTTAAGTATGCCATATTGTCAAAACCATTTTTTTTTTTTGAAGAAAAGTCCTTGTGAAATAGAAGCATAAATAGTCAAAGTATAACATAAAATTTTATTCCTTCCATAAATTGGATGCAATCAGGAAGACTTTCAATTGGCAAATGCAATTTTTTATACAATTCTGCTTACATATTAATTGAAAGCTCTTATTTGGATTTTATGCAATTATGAAATCGAACCTTGAGAAGGGGAATAAATCACACTTTACTTTTGATTTAAAAATGCATGTTTAAAATTACTTGGTAGAGATGAAATAAAAAAATTAAAACATACAATTAAGAAAAAACATAGAAAATATATGAATATAAATGTGAAATTTTTTTTTTCTGGTCAAAACTATAATTTCTTTAATTTATTGTGAATTATATTAAGTTTAGTTCAATATATAGAAGGCTCATTAAGTTTGAAAATAGACCAAAATGAGAAAAAAATCTTGAAAGAGTAAAATAAAAAGGACTAAATAACATAAAATTTTTGGGACAAAATTTCAATCACTAAATCATGTTTATGACCTTTAGTGTTAAGACATTAGAAATTTAAAAAAAAAAAAAAAAAAGTTTTAATAATATGTAAAATAAATGGTACAGGATCTAATTGGAATAAAAGATATAATTGGACACAAAAACGTTGTTAGTACTGGATCGAAACATTTGCAATAAAATTCTGAGAAATCATTGATGTCAAAATTCTTGGCAAGGAACATTACAAATTACTGATTTTTCAAAACTTTTCCAAGTAGATGATAAACTTCTGCTGACTGTACATATTTTTTTTTGAAAAAAATCTCAATTTGATTTAACGAAGGACGTGTAAGCAATTTGTTGACATAGTACAGGGCTGTCCAACTGGCGGCCCGCCAACTTCTTATTCAGGCTGATCGGCCTCAGTTTTCCTATTGAAATGTAAGCAAATTGTTTTATAATTCATACTTCAACTATTAATTGTTATTGCATAAGAGGTTAATGTTCCACTTTTTCAAAATGCGGCCCGCCTGGTGATCAGTGACCGGAATTCTGGCCCGTGGGCTCGTTGCAGTAGGACAGCCCAGACATAGTGAAAAGATTAACATGATTTAATGAAACATCAAAGGGGAAAAAAAAAACTACCAATTAAAATTTCATCATGCTTAAGTACTTACTTAATTTAGTGTTTGACTTACCAACTCTCTGAATTGTTGAACCAACAAAAGCAGCAACTTTTTGAGCAGGGCTCATGTTGCCATTTTGAGCCTGGAAGAAACAAATTGCGTTAAAATTTTAAGAAAAATTATTACTTTAAAAGTGCTTTGAATTAGTTATACAGTTGCAATCATCATAATTAACACTTACACTGCAATGTATTCCGCATATGCCTGTATGCAATAGCAGGGGTCTGTCCACATTGAATTTGCTACCGTTTAGCGGTACCTTCACAAATTCAATTTTAGGGAGAATGGTAGTTTCACAAAGTACTTTTTTTTTTAAATTTTATTTTTGTATCCTTAAGAAACGATAAATCTATATTTTTACTATGTTTTTGTGTTGATTTTTGTTATATCATTTTTAATTTTTCACATATTATGTCTAAATTTTCACAAAATAGGTACCTCTCAGAAAAACCTAGACAGACCCCTGAATAGGTATGGATGTCATATTGTGATGTTAACGAGGAAATAGATTTTTTGTAAAGAGAAAGAAACAAGATTTCAAAAAGAATAAAAAAAACACGAAGTTGTTAAAGAATGATCATTTTGTAAAAACATACTCCATTTTTATTAACCTCATTTAAAATAATTATTAAAAAAAATAATTGTTATAGATAATATATTTGCTTACTCTGGACTTAATTGGATACTTCTTGCTATCTGGAATTTTAAGACTGAATTCCAGAGTTGTTGTATGATTTTTTTAGAGTTCTGGTTAAAAAATACAATTTATCAAAAAATTAATTTTTTGAAAATTAAAAGTTATCGTAGCCTTATGGGAACCCTAAAACCAGAAGAGGTTTTCAAATCATGAATGTAAAATACCAATACAAAAATACTTACTTTTTTATCTTTTAGCATTTGTCTGGATGGAATTTTACGAAGTTTAGATGTTTCCTTCTAAAAGAAAGTACAAAGTCTTAAGAAATCAGAGAATATTTTACATTGATCATTTAGAAAACTTTTTATTTAATCAGTAAATTAGTTCTAGTTATAAAGTAGTTTCTGAATAAAGATTAAAACAGTGAAACTGCAAATAAAATATTTTATATAAAGATGGGAAAAAAAAAACAGTAAAGAAAGACATAGTTGGAAAGTTATGTTTAATGCATCATTTTTAGTAGTATGATACATTTGGATTGACCGAAAGGTTTGTTCAGATGGGCTAAATATAGCCTATTGCATTACTTTACTGATGCAGAAATTTACAACTTGATTCTAAGAATTAAAATATAATAAATATAAAAACTAACTTGAGATTTCTTGGCTGGGACGAATTCCTCATCTGATTTCTGAAAAACACATACATGATAAATATAATTATCAATATAAAAGAATATAATACAACTGTTGAATAATAAAAAGGTAACTGAAGCATATTGCTGTAGTAAAAAAGATGAAAAAATTAAAGTAAAAAAAGTATTACTTATGTTATTACTATTAATTACTAAACTAAGACCTGCAAGTTTGACATGAGAGAAAAGTTTGAAATTCACTAAAAATTTAAAAATTTTGAGGAAACATAATTTTTTTTTTCATTTTATAATCTGATTACTAACTATTATCACTTTTATTTGTTATAACAGTTTAGGCTATATATGTACTATACAAACATTTTTTACATTTATTATTATTATAAATTTAGACTATTGCGTTACAAAAATACTTTTTAAAATAAAAAAGTACAAGAGAAAGTAAATATAAAAAAAATTTACCCTTTTTCGAGACACAGTTCTTGGCTTCTCATCAATGTCCTACAATAATTAAATCATTTTAGAAATTAAAACAGACAAAATACAGGTATTCAATAATTACAAATATTACATACATCTTTAGAAATATTACATACATCCTCATATTCTGTTACAACTGAGGTCGCCTGTCTAGTTCTGAGAGCGCGTCTTGTCTAAAAAAAGAGAAATAAAAAACAAATTTAAAACAAAGTGATTTTTTTAGATATTTTAATTAAGTATTAATTAAAATATACACACCTTTCTTACTTCCTGACCTTCCTAAATATTAGAAGAAAAAAAAGGTATAATTACTATATAAAGTTACAAGGAAAAACTATAAAAAATTGTAAAGATCTTTACAAATTTAAATTTCACATTTTTTAAAACATCTGTTTTACTCATGCTTTTATTTAAAACTTCAGTATTAAAATAATGATAATTTTCATCTTTTCTTAAGTATTTAACACAAAAATTCACATTACTAAACTAAAGTAATACTAATACTGGATGTGCTCATTCATTCAACTGAAGTACTGAAGATGTATTTAGTACAAATTAAGGTCCTAAATTGACAGTGAAAGAGACAGTTAGGCAAGCTGGGCGGGACAGGCACAGAACATAAAAAGAGTATATCAATGTTCATCTAAATCATTATTGTAATGATGGCAATCATTCAAAAGACAAAATTAAAATGCTCTCACATAAAACTCAACAAAAAATAAGTACCTTTTAAGCATTTATAAAATATTTTTAAGCACTGTGTACATTAAAAAATGCAAAATAATTTTCAAAGACCATGTTAAAATAACTAGTATCTGACAAAGAACTCTTCGATTACATTAGCCATTATAAAATGATCAAGAGATTTTTCGGTTTGATATTAGAGGGTGGAAAATGATGTCTGAAATTGACAATATCTTGCAAAATGCACACGAGGGTGCAATAATCTCACCAAACCCAGCTTGGTATATATGCACATACGGACTCCCAAGTATTTCCTCAAACATGTAAAATGATTGGAGCGTTCATACGCTATGGACTGACGGTACGCCAAAATAGATTGTGGTTGAATGAATTGTGAAAACATTGAATAGAACAATGTGAAAATCACACTTTTGCACAATACATGGCAAAAATAGTCATGGTAAAGAAAAAAAAAAAGTATTTTTGAGAAGGGAAAATTAATAACTTTTTAAAAACACCCAAAGAAAAAAACACTTTTAAGGGCTTTTAAATAACGAAAATAAGCACCCTAAAGCACTTTTTAAAAGCACTATGCACCATGTACATGCAGTTTAGCACACAGATAAAAAATTGTATCTTGTCTTACAAATAATTTAAAGAAACCCCATTACTAAACTTTTGGATAATCAGTTGCTTGCGACCAAGTACTTTAATTCGCATTCATTGTTTATCTAAAGAAATTCATTAACTAGATTAAGTAGATATTAATTTCATTCAAGAGATCTCTCACAATAATCAAACCTACAGATGGTGATCTATTTTCAAGAATACCAACTCTAAATATAGGTAAGAACTGATAAAATTGATCAATTAATTTCATGCTTAAAAGTTTAATGTTTTTCTACCTAAGAAAAATAGTACAAATTTATAATTGATAATTAAAACACCTATAACAAACTTCAATTAAAAAAAGAAATGTATATTAAATAGAAAGACAAAATAATAATGACAAAAAACTAAAAGAAAATGCTACTAAATAAGTAACTATAGAACATTTAACAGTTTAAATGCATAACAGATATTAGAAGTGATTTTTTTGTGTGTGATGATTGGTATTGTAATGCTTATATGTTAAGAAGTAAGAGAGAAGTTCCCTGAAAATTCTAGGTTTCTCCTAATATTATCAGATACAATAATATGGAACCTTTAGACAAAGAAATGGAAAAATTGCACTAAAGAAAGAATAAGTTTAAATATAATAAATATTAACGATAAGAGTTCCTAAAAGTAAGAGAAATAGTTTTATGTGCAGGGTCACGTCACTCAAAAATAATACGAACCAATAAGGTTTATTAAATAGATTTTTCCATGTTCAGAATGTGTTATTATTTTTATAAAATTAATGTTATGGACTTTTTCATAGTCTATACAACAGCTTTAATAATTATTTATTTAGAAATTGCAATTATTGTCTTCTTTATGACATACCGTATATTTCTGAATACAAACAATTGAAAATTAAAGTGAGAAAGTCTGATTTATAATAGAATGCCATATCTTGGAAAACTACCAGGAGGATATTGCCAACAGCATTTGTAAATTTCGCAGAACATAAATACAAAACATTAAATAGTTTAAAATAGAAAGTCCAAATGTAATTATTGAAAAGAAACACATAAAAATGTGTATTTGAATGAAACATTATTATCACTCTCATGGCATTTCAATCAGGGTTGCTACTCAAATAGGAAAACAAAATTCCCAGACTTTTATTTATTGTACAACTGTTACTTGATCTATGGCTACTACAAGTGAATGGGAACATTCTTATTTCCAAGTGTAGTATGCTTCGTGCACGGATGGGATTATTATTATTATTATTTTTTTTAGATAAATACAGTATTTCCTTATTTTTTCAGTAAACTTAATTGATAAATACAAAGGTTTAATTTCCATAACATAAAAACCATTCAAATATAGCACAATACCTCAGAGGTAGTTGAAGAGTTTCTCTTCAATTTCACATCCTAAAAAAAGAAAGAAATAAGGTATTGATCATTAGAAATAACTAAATAATAAAAAATACCCAACATAAATATGAAAAATCAATAGATATAAAACTAAAGTTTTTCTTCGTTTCATAGAAGAAAGTTATACAGATATTTTTTAAGACTACAAAAAAGACCATAGTAAATATATAATTGTAAAATTGATAATGAATATTTTTATTAATATAGTAAATGAATAACCATTAAATATTATAATAAACTATTTCTAAATTAGCACTTAATTTGTAAGCTTAAGGAAAATGATTGAGGTTGATTTGAAAGTGAAAATACAGAAGTAAAACACGATAGTAAACTAATTTAATGCATTTTCACTCATTTGTGCTTAATTTGCAAATTCAATAAAAAAGGTACACATTTTTTAAACTCTATAACCTTCTTTGGAAAAAATAATTTGGCTCTTGAATACAAACAATGAATTATCTTTTCGTGTGGCCTTTTTATAATTATCAATAATTCTTTACTTTGCTACCGCTAGAGATGACCTTAAATTGGTGCTGGGTTTACACATTAAAAAAAATATTGATTTTTTTTGAGACAGCAAATTTATTATACTCTCAAAGTAAAAAAAAAAAAAATAGTTTTTTCTAATCTTTTTTGCTTAAATAAATTTAAACCATGGCAATTAAACACAAAAACATGAAAATCTGATTTATTTACCTGGCTGGATCTAGGTACTCTTGAAAAATTGGATTTAGAACGTGGCAGGATATTAAAACAATTAAGAGAAAGAAAAATAAATTTCTTTTACACCTAACATTAATTAACTGTAACCTAACTTTAATTTTACAAGCGATATAGTTTTGAGTAAATTTAAAATGTGTACATATAAGCATTTTAAAGTATATTTAAGACCAGTAATTTTTGGGTAGTATGCTGCATTATTTATTTAAGTCTTTGTAGTGGAAACACCAGGAAATGATAAACAATGTAATTTACTCAAATGATTCATGCAATAGATCGAGATATTTTTTGGTTCAATTTCAAAGGGGGGAAACGAAGTCGGAAATTGAGAATATCTTGCAAAATGCAGCAGAATTGCACATGAGAGTGCTAGAATTTCACCGAACTCAGCTCAGTAGACACACACGGAAGTATTTCATTAAACATGTAAAATGATTGGCGCTTTCATATGCGATGGACCAACAGTAAGCCGAAATGGATTGTGGTTGAATGAATTGTGAAAACGTCGAATAGAACAATGTGAAAATCAAGCTTTTGCGCATTACGTGCTGATATTCATGATTATATTCGAAAAGGGAAAAACCAAGCACTTTTTCAAAACACCCAATGAAAAAAGCCCACTTGCACCATGAAATGTTGTTATTAAGCTACCTTTTAAAAAAAAAAAATTTCAGCAATAAAATCACATATTTAGTTAATTCACAAAAAAGGGAAATAATAACAAACATTACCTTGAATGATTCAGATTTATCTGAATTTTCTTTGTCATCACATTCAATTTTCATCTAAAAGAAAATAATTTTAATATTAAATATAGCATTTAAATAACACTTTTCTTTCAGTAGGTGGTTTGATGTCACCTTATGCTGTTCATTCTCAAATTTATATTTCGGAAAACTTTCAATTTCATCTAATTTATTAAAATATCTTTTATGCTCTACCAATTTGTAATTTTTAGATTTAAATATTTTTTTTTTTTTAATCTTCATAACATTACATTAAAGCTGCAATAGTTTTAGAAATAAAACTTCATGACTAAGCTCTGTAAAAAATATTGTAATGAATATAATGAAAAATTACTGTTCTTAAAATAAAATTGTGGATTATAGAAAAAAAAAAAAGTAATTGATTTTCTAAATTATCCATCGATAAGTATGATGAAGCTTGATAAGCAGAACTATAATTTAATATATAGATTTATGCATTAGTAAGAATCAGATGATACATTATGAGTATATGTGTTTGTTGCTTAGAAGTAATTTTTTCTGAAATACGACATGGTGAAATTATAAAAGCTTGTCATATTTAACTTTAACAATTACAAGTGACATTTTCTGAAAAAAATTACTGCAATTTTTGAAATATATCAATGTAGGATCAGATTTCAAATATTTTTATTTCAAAATAGTTTAAAAAATACAGCTAGAACAAACAGGAGTATATTTGAGGTAATTTTTACACTAAAATGTCTCTTTAAATATAGAGATGCTATTCAACTAAGCTTACTTTTATCTAGTGGTTAAATGAAATACAGTAGGGAACCGATTATCCGGAACGATCGGGACCATTGCTATTCCGGATAACTGATTTTTCCGGTTTTCTGAATCGCTACAAAAAGCCGTTTGTTTATTGTTAAACCCAACAAAAAAAAATGTTTTTTTGGAAATAATCTTAAAAAGAAGAATAAACGATGAAGGAATACACTAATAATTATTTCCAAAATGATGGTAAGGTAAACATCTTTCAAAAAAGAAAAAAAAATCCTAAAATCTTATGAGGAAAAAAAATTTTTTTTTTTTAAAATGGCTCAAAAATTTATCGAATTTCGTTCCGGTTTTTTGGTTTTCCGGATAACGGGTTCTGTACTGTACTAGAGAAATGGTTGAAAACTTTTATACACTTAACGCCATAAATTTAAGTATCAAGTAAAGGTGACTAAATTTTAGAAAATAAATGCATTAAAAGATGTCACAAACATTAAAAAATAATAAAAATAAAGAAATAATAATAAAAAACTTTATTTTATCAAATTTCCCTGATTTTTTTGTAACTGGTAGCATAAATTTCATTATTAGTTTTCTTAGTTATACCTCATTTTTATAAATAAATTACATCACAAAACACTGTAAATTTATTTGAGCTAAATAAAAAATTAAAAATATTACAAGATTAAAATTTTTTTTCTTAGAAAAATATTGGATTTTTAGATATTTTAATGTGACTCTTTCTTGTTCTGTAATCCGCAATGAGCTTCTAGGTAAAATTGCCAAGGGAAAAACTGTCTTTTCGATACAAAAAAACCCAACAGCTTAAAAATAAACTTCAAAACAAAAAAACAAAGGTACGTAAAAAAATAAGATTCAATTTGATTGATGGTCAATGATTTTAAATGGCAAAAAGATACTTCAAAACTACAATAATATAGCACACTCACTTTAGTAGCTGCAGTTTTCTTTTTAGGTTTTTCCTGAAAAGTTAAAATAAAAAAATTATACAATTAGTTAAAAAATAATAATTCACAGAAACACAAAAATAAATTCTTAATAGCCATTTGTTATACCAATTGAAGAAATTAACTTATTAAATTAAAAGTTTTCAGGAAAATAAAATAATGAATCTAAGTTCGACATTGCAGGCTAAAAAAAGAAAAAAATATCGAAATTCCATTTATTAATATTTAACAAAGGTAACTTACGCGTGCAAGATAACACAAGTGAAATGATATGCTTATCACGGAATTTTAAATTCCCATTTGTTAGACGGCCTAAATGATCAAATAATGATGATCGATAATTTAAGAAAGCAGTTCCCAAATGGTGTTATATGGAACTCCAGGGTTCCATGTGACAGTCAAAGGAGTTCCAAAATTTTACTTATGCATTTATAAAAAAATTACATAATTATTAATTATAATGTTAAGTTCGTTTGGAAAGAAACATATATAGATGTTCTTTTTAGCTTTTATATTAGTGAAATTTATAATTCAGCTTATTTTCTTTTCTTTTACTACATACAAAAAAAAAAAAAAAAAATAAATA